CTGATAATTTCATTTTTTTACCTTTTATGTTAAATGTAAGGATCACAGGGTAATCGTTTTTAAAGCATATTTAATTGAGGAATAATTTTTGCGTTTGACGTTCTGACTTCAAACATGAAAATATTATACAGAATATCATAGGTCAATATAGTTTTCTACAAGAATTATAAAAAGATATTTTTATTTCTTTAAAATTGAATCTTTAAATGTTTCTTTTTAGTAAGCCTGGATGCACACAAAAAGAGCAAAACAAGTCCAAAATAATCGAGCTATTCAAGTTTGAAAGTTTAAAAAAAATTATATTTATTTTTGAAAAAATTTGAGAGCCACCGGATTTTTTTCTGTATTTGCATCCTTTTCAATAATGTAACCATAGAGTAAAGTAGTAAAGCCGTAACCATGATAATATTAGAGATTAAGAAATTATACTCTGGGAAAATTCGCGGTGAACAGGCAGTTCTAAAAAGTTTTCTAAAACAGAGGAAAATTTAAAAGAAAATGCACGATTTTCAACATCTTTTTTGCGAAAAAAAACCTCTTATACCGGATGCGTCTCAAAAGTGCCTTACCCCTATAACTTTTTTATTTTTTGAGATAAAACAACAATATTTGGTATGTTAGTATATGACATAAATTGGGATTGATTGACGCACTCAATTGTTCTTCAATCAAAATCAATTGTTCTTCAAAATCAAAAGTTGTAGTCATTTCCGGTTTCACCGGAAATGACTACAACTTTTGATTTTTAAATGGCACCTTCGGAATTTTTTTACTTTATTCGATAGAAAATGACACTCTGAATCGAATGACATAACATATATCACATATATCATATATATATAACTTTTGACATTTTGGTATATGGTTTATTTGAAATTGTAACATGCGGTTCATAACGACAATTTAATTCAAAATAGCAAATGTGTGGTATCAAATTATTCGTAAAAAAATGCTTTTTCTAAATATGCTAATGAGCCACCCTCGTTCCATTTGAAAAAATTGAGATATGATTAAAAATACGATTTGGGCATCTTTTAACTGACCAGGACAAGACACTAAAACCATTAGACGATCAAATCTATTTTTCCAAGGCTCCTTGATTAAAAATTAGTTTTTTTTAACACAGCCATGGCACTCTAGATTGAAATTTAAAATAGAATTTGTTTTTGAGTGACTATGTCAAAAATTGACATATGATATGTCATTCGATTCAGAGTGTCATTTTCTATCGAATAAAGTAAAAAAATACCGAGGGTGCCATTTAAAAATCAAAAGTTGTAGTAATTTCCGGTGAAATCGGAAGTGACCGAAAACAATTGAATACGTCAATCAATCCTAATTTATGTCATATACTAACATACCAAATCTCGTTGTTTTATCTGAAAAAATAAAAAAGTTATAGGGGTGAGCCACTTTTGAGACGCACCCTGGGGTCGAAATATACCACCCCTAAAAATATTTGCGCTTATTTAAGACTCACCCTGTATAATAAAAAAAATAGAATCGATGTATTTAGTACTGTGATGTGGGGGTACTCACACAGTGACGCATTTCATTCATGGACATAAAATCACTTTTATTTGAATAACAAATTTTATTATTTTCCCGGGTATGTATATTTTATGTGAAAATTATCTTTATATGACATAAAAAAATTCAAACAATGGTATACATATCCGTGATTTCTGTATTTCTTATCGGTTTTATAATCCATTTTTAGTAACAATTATTTTCACAGTTTAGAAATGAATTACCTAATAGTACCTACAGAAAGAACCAGTAACACTTTTCGTAGTTTAAGCTACATTCTGGTTAAACTTTATTTTGCTTGGAACTATTTTGTTTGCTAATTTTTACGAAAAAACGAAGGTTTTATTTTTTTTAATGTAATGAAATAATATCGTTTAATTTGCAACTTTGGATTGGCGATTTGATAAACCAAAAAGTTCATTTCAGGCGTGAATTTTTTGGAAGATTGTGCGACTCAGTACTGAATCACACGCCACCACTCGCTAAATTTTAGATTTAATTTCTTAAACGATTGAAGATTAACTAAAATTTATCTTTGATCATAAGAAAATGTTTAATACTGAGAAATGTTTTAAGTTATTGCTAAAAATGTTATAATAGTGAGAAATATAAAAAATAATTTAATATTAACAAAGAAAGGCCTTGCTTAATACTATAAGACATTGACAGCTGGTAGAATTTCGATGTCCTATAGCTCTGGACACTAAATTTTAGTTAGCTAACTGTACTAATACTAAGACATTTTTAAAACTGGCGATTTTTTTCTTTCATTTTTGTGTGTGCTTTTACGCCTAAGGATAAAAGTACGAAAATATATTATTAAACTGACATAAAATGTCAAATTCAACGAGCGTAACCATAGTTTCTCTATATATAATTACTTACAAGGTATTACCAGAGTACCTAAACCGACGAGTAGCGACAGTCCTGTTTTCAATTTTCTTTGCGGCTGCGCGAAATAAGTAGGTTATCTGGTTATCTGTCATACGAAGAAGCGAAGTTGCCACTGTTGCCATTTATCAAATATCTCTATATACTTTATTTCAAGTATTCCTCAGGCAACGAATCGTTTTTCTAATTATTTATTAGCAGTAAGTATTTTATACATTCAAATTTAGAAATAAGGATAAAACAAAACAAAAAAATATGTATAAAACTTTATAATTAATTCCACTTCAAATTGTGAGCAGTGTATACCATGTTTATAGGACCACTTCATAAGTTGAGCAGTTAAATACGTAGTCTATCTGTCAAACACGTCAAAAGAGAGAGAAAGAAAATTTGGTCCCACCACATCAAAAGAGCCGACGGTTTCTGTCGCTACTCGGCGATCTACGTACTCTGGTATTACTTTTAAATATTTTTATATTATTTGGAACGTTTGAAATTATTGTTTAAAAACTTATTTGTGACGTTTGAAAAAAATAGCATGTTCTATTCGGAGTAAAAATTACTTTTTGTGCCTCGGCCTTTAATGTCACCAAACTAAACGTACAACCTGGCCACAAAAAGTATAATTTTTACTCCCAAAAAAATTATACAGTGTTGTTCACCACATACGACACGGAGTATTGTAGCTCAACGATTAGATTTTTACAAATTTTAAGTTTTGGGTTTGTTGAAGGACTATTAGAGCTACAATTTAAAAATATTTTTACAAGATACAGAGTGTCCGAAATAAGTAAAAAATATTATAGTCGTATTTTTTTAAATGGAACACCCTGTATATTGTTCTATTTTTGGATTCTACGATTGAAATAAAGGTAAATTTGATTAAGATTTATCACACTTTAAACCTTACCGTTTTTGAAATATTTTCAATTTTATGAAATTGCAATAAAAATTTTAAGGCTTCATTTCTCCAAGGGTATTGAAGTTTTTAATACTAAATATTTACTGAAGATTATTTATTGATGAAATATTGTGTTGCAATAATAACAATTTTACTACCTCATATAGAGTGTCCAAAAATTTATATTAAATAATTACTAGCTTTAAACGGCAATAACTTGTTTAATTTAAATAGAACACCCTGTATATTTTACGTGAATCAGATGCACAATTTAATTGTCTATCAAATTTTATTATACCATTTTTTACTTATCTCTTCAAGTTTTTGTAGAAAATGCATTTTCTTATAATTTAGACCTCATTTATCACTATACCCATGGAATATTGACATTGCAGATTTTTTTAAAGCAACATATATGTACAAAATTTACAGGTGGTAAATATTGCAAGCCCATTGGTATACAAAAAAAAAACTATTTAAATCTTTGTAAAAGAGTATACCAATTAAATATACCACCGACCAAAAATTAGTTAATTAGGTACATATTTTTAAATTGTTTTAATTAATAAATTATTCTAAATAACTGTCGATTTGGCTCAGAAATCAAGATAATAATAAGTTATGAAAATTAACGTCTCTGTTTTAATAAATAAGCATTCGTCAAAAAATGAATGATAAAATTTATAAGGTGTTACTTTTTACCACACTGTCTAATACACACACTAAATTCAGTTTTTTTAGTATTTGGAGCAATTATTATTACAAACCAAACAGTCAATTAATGTAGCTTGAATACTGGGATCATATTAATCGGTCCCCTTTAACAAAAAATATTTAAACATTTTTTTTTTATTTTTTAATAAAATAAGCAAACTATATTCACAATATTAGTATCTGTACTCTTTTAATTTTTTTATGTCTTTAAAAATAGTCTAAAATGTCAAATTCCATAGGTATAGTGATAAATGAGGTTAAAAATTATAAGAAAATGCATTTTCTACAAAAACTTGAAGAGATGGGTAAAAAATAGTATAATACAATTTGATAGACAATTACATTGTGCATCTGATTCACGTAAAATATACAGGGTGTTTCATTTAAATTAAACAAGTTATTGCCGTTTAAAGCTAGTAATTATTTAATATAAATTTTTGGACACTCTGTATAAGGTAGTAAAATTTTTATTATCGCAACACAATATCTGATCAATAAATAAACTTCAGTAAATATTTAGTATTAAAAACTTTGATACCCTTGGAGAAATGAAGCCTTAAAATTTTTACTGCAATTTCATAAAATTTAAAATATTTCAAAAACGGTAAGGTTTAAGTGTGATAAACCTTAATCAAATTTACCTTTATTTCAATCGTAGAATCCAAAAATAAAACATTTAAAAAAATACAACTAATATTTTTTACTTATTTGGGACACTCTGTATCTTGTGAAAATATTTTTAAATTGTAGCTCTAATAGTCCTTCAACGAACCCAAAACTTACAATTTGTAAAAATCTATTGGTTTAGCTACAATACTCTACTTTTTTATTCTACTCGTAAAAGTTCTTTACTTTCATAGCGTTAATTTTAAATAATAATTTAATAAATGACATTTTTATATTGACAATCGCGTCGCAAAAATTAATACTTTTGTGACGTTTAAAAAAATTGATTTTAAAAAAGTTGCTTTTACATCCAAAAATTAAAAAAAATCACAAATTTTAAAATTGTTTTTAGTTTTTAATAATCGAAAGACAGCCGAAATTCTACTAGCCGTCGTTGCTATAAAATGTATTTTCAGTTCTAAAAATAAAATAACTAACTTCTAGATATTCTAAACAACTCTAAAAAGCTTTATTCAGAATCTCGCAATTAGTGGAATAAATTAGGGGTTTCAATTATACTTTATACTTATGAGTTTACGAGCATTCACAATGTCTAAAAGAGATATAGATAATCCTAACAACAGCTTGTAGTATTTAGTGGTATCCATAGAGAAAACTTAATAATTAGGTTATAAAACAACAAACTTTTATATCTAACCACAAATTCTCTTGACAGATGGTAATGATAGGCCAAAATGACATTACTCGCAAATTTTGACGTATAATTAGTAGAACAATTAAAGTTTGTTAACTGTTTATACTGATTTAAAAGTACTACCACTAATTTTTACAATGAATTAGAGGAAGAAACGTCTGCCCTAACTGAAACCACTAATTTGTTTCACTAATTTCGAGGTTCTAAATGGAACTTCAAAAAAAAAGTTTTTCAAGTTTTTTTACACAACCACATCATATTTCTACAAGATCACACTGGAGATTGGCTAATTTCGTCCAAGTTCTTTTTCATTTCCTCCAATTTTCTCATGTCGCTGATGGAGGAATTACACTTGTCCACTACGAGGGAATGGTAAAAGTTCGCCGCGAACAAAACAAACACTATTAGTACCGGAACCACTATTATAGTCGCCGCCACTGCCGCTGTGAAACTATAGTCCCAGAATTTCACCCAACAGAGTATTGCTACCTCGACCATAAATAAAAATAAACCTGCAAGAAAACGTAAAATGTAATATGAATATGTAAAATATAAGCTATGTTTCAAAAAGTCTTGTATTTAATTGTGAGTAACTCATGAGAGATTTCTTAGCAAATACTTGCTATAGTAAACGCCACGAAAGTTTGGAAGTGATTCATCGGTCGCTACCATGTGAACTAATCTGTTCAAGGTCACATAAGACTTAATTCCAGTGCCGTGCTGTTTCAAGTCACATAATAATCAATATATAATCTGTTGTAATTTGTTGTTTTAACTGTCAAAGTCTTGTCAAAACATATATTTGGTTATAAATATAAAATGGAATGCCCCATTGGTCGCACTGTAAGCGCACCAATGGACTGACGCACAAAAACCAATCAATCAAAGAAACGCGATATAGTATCGTCTTTGTCAATCACGCTAACATTTTAGAATAAGTAGGAGGAGCGCAGGCAGATGATTAGACCGGGCCTTTAAAAACCTACGTCTGCGGTAAAAATTTACGTTTTTAATGTAAAAATGATAGCGCGCGTGTCGATTCTAACTTCATCAAGCGATGAATCACTCCCAAACATTCGTGGCGTTTACTCTAGTGTATCGAACAGTAATATAAATTTTCCCAATATATACTGAGTCTCAAAACGAGATTTGGGCTGTATTCCGTTGCAAAACCAGGCGAACCAGACCGGTAAAGTACGGTAAAGAGCGGTTCCTGAAAAATATCGATTTGATACGGAACGGTTTGGTAAACACTGGAAACGTCAAATGTTGACGTTTTCTAATTTACAATACCTCTATTATAAAATTTATCTCTTATGCATTTTTAATGTACCTATTCTCTGCTTTTATTGCGTTTGCTCTTTCTTTTCAATGGAGTTTAATATTGAAAAGTACTTTATTAATAAACTGTTTAGACAGCTCAAGGGAAGATTTGCAGGTCCAATATTAAAAGAGATCAATAATAAACAAATCTAATCAATATTTATATTTTATAGCTTACAAAACATTCACGATTACTTGTTGTCTTGTTTTTAATGTTTTCTTTAAATGTTCTGACTTTAAAGAAACAATGGCTGCATGATAAGTTTAAATGGTCCTAAAAAGTCATTCTATTTAGTTAATGATATTTATTTACCTTCACTGCCTACCTCCATTGCTTTTGGATGTAAATACAAAATATTATTACAAATTTTAGAAATTAAATGAGAATTTCACTCGCACTTCCAATATTTGCTTGATTTCTGTCACATAAAATGGCATTGATTGACAAACAAAACCAGAAAAACTACTTTCTAAAGCTGTTGGGGCGCTATTCTGTAAAATCGTCGGTATCGGTAAGCTAACGATAGCTCTCGATACGTATTTGTACATAGTAAAATGTGTTAATTGTTGTTAAACATAGTTACCGATCGGTCCTATGGCAGATATCGCAAATTTGTACCGACGAAAATCGGTATCTCTACCATGCCCTTGTCAACCTCACGGTAGAGATACCGAGAGTCGTCGGTACAAATTTGCGATATCTGTCATAGGGACGATCGGTAACTATGACAACAACAATCAACACGACGCTCATTGGCCGTACGTACCGATAGCTGTCGGTAACTTGCCGATACCGACGATTGTACAGAATAGCGCCCCTTTTGGTGACAGTTATAACCGAATTTTTCAGGAACCGTGTTCCGTAATAAGAAAACTTTCAGGAAAGAGATAGAAACGGAACATAAAACCATAACCATGGTAAGGAACGGAATGCACCCTTGGTATATTAGTACCGTATGATCGAGAAAAAACGGCGTCAGCGTTGGCTATGAAATGAAGATCGCTGTCAATTTATATATAAATTTATATGGGAAATGTCATCGATCGTCATTTCCCAGCCAACTGAACGCCGTTTTTTTCGATCATACGGTATATGACAAAAATTAGGATTGATTAACCTATTCAATTGTTTTCGGTCGACAGAAAATAGCACTCTGAATAGAACGACACATGTCATCTTTTGACATTTTCAATTAAAAAAATTGCTTTTTAAATTTCAATCTTGAATGCCATGGCTGTCTTAAAAACATTAATTTTTAATCAAAGAGCCTGTGGAAACATAAGCAATGGTCATAGTCTAATGTTTTTCGTGTCTTATCCTGGCCTGTTAAAAGATACCCAAATCGTATTTTTAATCATATCTCAATTATTTCAAATGGAACGAGGGTGGTTCATTAGCATATTTAGGAAAAAAACATTTTTTACAAATAATTTGGTACCACACACTGGGTATTTCATGTCAAATGTCGTTATGACCCGCATGTTACAATTTCAAATAAACAATATGCGAAAACGTCAAAAGTTGACATATGATATATCAATCATTCTATTCCCAATTCCCAGTGTCATTTTCTATCAAATAAAATTTGAGTCAAAAGGTGTAGTCATTTCCGATGTATCGGGAAGTCAATCAATCCTAATTTAATTAATTTAAAAATTGTTCTATTGGTTGAGTCTAATGTAGGCTTACCTAAAATAGTTGAAAATGCCCAGGCTAGTTCAATGAAGCCTCGCATCCTTTCGTGGGGACTTTCCGTAACCAGCTCGCATATTTCTAGTTTTGCTATCGATTCGATATTGGGCAGGATGTACGTGGATATCATCAAGGCAAAAATGTGAACTGCGACTAGTATGGTCGTGCAAACGGCGAACATCACGAAAAGCCACTCAGGAACATTTGTGGGGGTGTTGATTTGAAGCTCCACCTAGTAATTTAATACTTTTTAGAGTAATTATTGAGACTTCTGGACTATTATTACAGAAAAATTATCGTACACGAGTCATAGGGTTTGCGTATCGAGATGGTTTTATAGAAGTTAGTTCTCCATCTCTGATATCAGCCGTACCAAAGTTTATGGTACGAATAGTCATCACGGCGCCGGCGCACCCAATGATGAGGTGTTCTGGTATTTTCCCATTTTCCCCACACAATCTGCATTCGCCGTTGTTTCTTATCTTCAATCTATTGAGGTGTTCACAGAGGAGACAGTGTCTCGTTAAAAACCCCGTGACAATCTGAAGATTGTTCTTACCTAAATCAAGGAAAATCCACGTGTTGGGGATCACTTAAGTCGAAAGATACATCGTATCTTCATAGATACAGAAATTTCAGCATATAACATAAAAAAGCTAGGAGTTTTCCACTTGGTAAGTTTTCAAGATATACTCGTATTAACTAAATTATACGATACGTCGATTTTAGTATTCAAATGAATCATGTAACAGGAATCAACAAAGTAAAACGTACCATTGCTATCATGGCGAATCCTGATAGTAGTTCCGAGGTAGTAGCTGTTGCCTTGAGTTTCGCCCTCGATTTGTGTAACCGTCGCCACGACAGTCCTTCTGGGGTGTTAGAGATCACTTTGGTACCATTTCTGCCTGTTTCGACGTCGTAACATTTGCAACAACATCGGGAACTGCTGGTACTTTCATCGTCCTGCACCGCTTTCAGCTAGAACAAAAAACATCTCGTGGAATAAATATAACATGCAAATTTAATTAAATGTACTTAATATAGACGAAGGAGGATTAGGGGTTAACTGGCATAGGAGTACGACAGGGAGACGCGGTATCCCCAAAGCTGTTTGCAGCAACACTAGAAGAAATCAAACACAACACTGGAAATAGTGCTATTAGTATAGTTAAATTACCGGGGAATTTCACTATTCGCTATCGGAGGAAAAATTCTTGCTAAAATTATGTCAAACCGCCTACGCCCACATATAGAAAAAATCCTTCCAGAATCGTAAACGGGTTTTCGTAATAACCGCGGCACCGTCGATTCCATATTTTCCATCCGCCAACTACAGGAAAAAGTTAAAGAACAGCAGTCAAAACTTTATGTTGAAAACATTCATCGATCTAACAAAAGCCTTCGACTCTGTGAACAGCATGAGATGCACTTTGGGCAATTATGACAAATTTCGGAGTAACCCAACAAATTTCTTACAGTGTGTAAAAGCCTCCATAACAACAACAAGTCAAGAATCATGGATCACTGAGCGATCCCATCCTAACAAATACAGGAGTTAGGCAGGGATGTGTCTTAGCGCCTCTCCTATTCAACATATTCATGGCACCGCTCTCCATTATAGTGGACAGCAAACTGCAGGAGAGAGAATTGGGTATTAGATACAGATACGACGGCGGTCTGTTTAACATAAAAAGACTCAGGACAAAAACACGTACAAAATTCATCACAAAACTTCAATACGCTGATGACTGCGCTCTAGTTGCAAAAACGGTACAGCAATTACAAGAAATGCTGAACACATATACCTGGGCATACATGCTTTGGGCCTTAAGCTAAACATCGACAAAACTAAAATCATGTGCACTCCCCCGGAAGATGACAACAATGCTATAAAAATCGGAGAAGAACTACTGGAATATGTTGCGGAATTCAATTACCTCGGCAGTTTGATTTCGGAAAAGGTCAATATCGACTCTGAAATTCAGCACAGGATTAGCAGCGCCTCAAGGGCATTCTGGAAATTAAAAAACAGGGTTTTCTACAACCATGACTTGCAGGCACAAAAACGAAACTTGCAGTGTACCGAGCAATAATAATCCCCACCATGTTATTTGAACGCGTTAAACAAGTTGCAACAGAGACACCTTAGATAACTCTTAACAATCAAATGGTTCCATCATGTCTCAAACGTATCGGTTCTTGAAAAAGCTAACTGCGAGAATATTGAAGTCATGGTTACAAAATCCCGACTAAGATGGGCTGGTCACGTATGCAGAATGCAAGGAAACCGCATACCAAAATCATTGCTTTACGGTGAGCTTGTAGGCGGTAAGAGGAGGCCAGGTGGACAACTCAAAAGGCAGAAGGACATTTTCCACGAAAACTTAAAGGGGATGAACGTGCAGAATGAGTAGGAAGAAGAAGCAACTCACAATAGAACTCAATGGAGAATTGTATACTCAGTTAACAGCGATAATCAAAAAGTTAAGAGGAAACAAAGCAATGAGGTTTTTGAATGTCCGGAGTGCGGTAGACAGATAACATCACGTATCGGGCTTTTCAGTCACAGAAAAGCTCATGAAAGAAAACGCCTTGCGTGACCATCTTCTGATGCGTGTCAAATACTCGTCAGCGAGTAATGGCTGTATGTATATGTAGTTTCTATGGAAGCACCTATTTAACAATTTTGTCATAAATTGTTAGTATATCAATATTAGGCATCTTTATTTCTGTAATAATTATAATGACTTGCCAATTGCACGCTATGATCTATTCTACTAATTAAAATACTTTATTCTTAAGTTTTCTAAACTCACGACTGTTTCATGTAAAATTACATAATGCCTCAGTACTATTCTGAGAAAAATGTGCCCGCTGTTTTTTCCGTCCGTCATTGCTTGACTCAAAATCTATCACTCTCAAAGTCACTTTAATCGTTGATTGAAGAAACATTCCCAATTCTTTCAATGAACGCTTTAATATTATAATGTGAATCGACCCTTAAAAGTACCCTGTGTCTGTACTTACCCGAGGAGGTGGCGGTGGTGGTATATACATAGGAGGTCCTTTGTATCCCATCGATATTGTGCTGGAGTTGCAGGAAAATGGAGGAGTTCGTTCTCGCGAGATGGAACTTAACGGAGTTTCCATTCCCGGAGTTGACAAAAGTGACAGGGGACTGTCACTTGCTAATACTTTCGGTCTGTTGAAGGCTTCGACGATATTGAGCGATCTTGGGCGTGTTGACAGGGGTTTTAGCTGTGCCTAGACAACGAAAATACAGATTAGTTTCAATACAATTCATTATAATGTTGCGAAACCAGTCCCGCTTTAATACGACCTAAAAGAGCCTGGAAATTCGTGAACACAGCGGCTAAGAATCATTCAGAACATTCTGGGCTCTCTGTCGCACTCGTATAAATGCCGAGGCCGGTGCGCAAGGGACAGACGATAATAACATAGTATAAGGAAACTAGTAGCTTTACTCCTTGTCAAATCCTTTGTTCTTTTTCTGCCACTTTATATGACCCTGTTCTCGCGTCCCGTGACCACTGACGTAGCTGTATAGTCGTGGTCTATAACTAGGCAAAGTATAGTCGTGGCACTTGCCATAATTTCACAGAGATGTATTTAGGAAAATATGAGTTCACAATAAAATAAAATAAAAAAAATTTATCATCGAGTAAAAATTTCCTTGAAAACATAATATTTTCACATTTCGTGTACCTAAGTAACAATTCTTCTGTATCTGGAAATCTTCTGATGGGAAGAAATGCGGAAAAAATATATAATGACATCTTTTTATATTATTATCTATTTTAAAGATTTTCTACAACTTTTTTTAATTTAAAACAAGTATAATTTTAACTTTAATGTGTTTGTTTTATAGTAATATATTGGTTAGGTGATTTTCATTGGATAACTAATACATTGAACAACACATTGTACTAAATAATAAAATAACATATCGTCGGTGAAATGTGATAAACTGCTAACTCCATTATTCCTAATTTTACAGGAGAACAAAAAAAAAGGTACAAAAAAATATGTAGACATGTAGGAAGTATTTTCATGCGTTAATATGATAAAGAGATAAGAATTTTATTTGCTGGGAAACAATATAACTCAATATTTCGTGTTACATCATTTTTTTCAGACACAATAGGGAGATAGCAGATATTCGTCTTGCAGAAATAAGAAATAAAAATATACTTCTGGAGATAGCAACCTTTATTGTTTGAAATTTTAAAAATGGAATTGAATATTACCCAAACAGATTGAGAAATAATCAATTAAATTTAAAAAATATATGATATTCATAACCATATATTTATAATATCGTCGGTCTAGAAGCAAAACATACAAGTCAAAAACGAATAAATTTTTAATATATTTTTAAAGATCTGAAGTGGCAACATTTTGGACTTAATGAATATGAAAATAATTTAAAAATTAAACTTATAATTCTGAGAAGATATGGTAGAATCCTTCCATGCTTATCCTAATTTTTATACAACGGTAGTAGACCGACCTTGGAAAACAGTGCGCTATTTTATTAAATTTTTATTACTTTCCTCCTTATTTTTTTAATTTTTATAAAAATTATGTATCATTTACGTGGAAAAACGTGGAAAAAAATAAAACTGATTAGGAATTATGGAAATTCTTGTACAAGTAAGTAATGGTTATTTAAACTATTTATAGCACGCCGATGAATTGCTCGTATATAGAGAATTTCATTTTTCCCCTCACCTTTTACGGATACCCCGTATTTACAGAACGGATCGACGCAGGGTCGGACTGGCCATATTATATATATAACTATTAGGGGGGCACCAGCCTTCGCGGTGCCCCCGTTCGTTAATATTTGCTTTTGCATTACATTATGGCATTTGCATTTTATTGGTTTACCTTGCATTAGGGTAGTTCCCTGATTTCTATACAGGATGAGTTTTAAATAAGTGCAAATATTTTCAGGGCTGGTAAATCTCGATAAAAGAAACATAATATTTTCTCTTTACCGTTTTTTCAAATAAATCCAAAACAACCGAGTTATTTCACTTTTAAAATTTCCAATTTTTTGCTATATTTTTGAGAATTATTGGATTTTCTTTCTTGTAAATTTAATCTACTACCTATGTTGCCATATTACAAACAAAGTATGTTTTTAAACTAAAAATTTCCAATTTTTTTTTTAAATTCCAAATTTTCAAAAAAAAAATTTGCCCAAAAAACCTCATAATCGTGTTTCTTGGGTCGAAATATACTACCTCAAAAAATATTTGCATTTATTTAAGACTCACCCTGTATATAATAGGGAAAAATTGACCAAAACGTAAGGCGAAAAAATACGCAAAAAAATCAACACGGGCCCCTTCTTACATTGCCACCCGGGCCCTTTTGGCCTAGTTGGACCCTGGATCGAAGTACTGTCCTAAAGAAATATACCAGTAAGAATCCGTGTGTTTGCTTTAGCGTGATCGTAACGGAAATTATGGACTTAGCAGTATTTCGGTGGCTATTTCAGATCACTGGGAGTTAGCAGATATTATTGAGTTAAAATTGCAAAATTTCTTTAATGGGAAAAAATGTATTTGCTTTCCCTACTTATAGAGTATTTTTTTCTCTTTCTAATGGTATAAAAAAACTTATTAACGTAAAAAATGGAGTTAGCAGGTTATCACGTTTCACTGACGATATTTAAATTTCAATAATTGCTAATAAACATTACAGAAATTTCAAAAGAGAAAAGAAGCAAGAAGAATGAGAAATAGCATCACTACTTTCTCACGTAATAAAAGAATATTTTTTTAGTTATTGTTACCGAGTCCCGAAGGTACCGAAAGAACCGGGAAATAATTTCGAATCCCGGTTCTTTGATATCTCAACAGAACCGGGAATTTCCACTTCTGAACCTTAGTTACCATATTATCAAGAAATTATGTATTTAACTAAAAAAAAAATTGTGCAGAAAAATCCTCATATTTCTGGGGCCAAAATATACTACCCCTAAAAATATGTTTTTCCGGAACCGGAGCTGTTGTTCGGACCCGGTAATTTCAGTACCATGCCTCTAAGGAACCGGGATTTCCATTTTTTTTTTCAGTACTTTCGGTACTAGCAAATTTTAGTTCAATAATCGTGCAGTTCGTTAAACAGCAAGCAAGGGATGGTTGTCAAAAGTAAAATCGATGAAAAATTGAGGTTTAAATGAAAATAATATCAAATTATAAGTAGTAATCAGTCATGAGAAAATTAACCTGAACACAAACATGATCACAAAAAACTCAAAAGCACAATTTTTTGAATTATTACTAAGGTAAGGCACTCATTTTTTGTCAATCCGTCTCTGTGCTGGGACGCAACGCTCCAACCTCGCAGTTCGACGGACGGAACTCAACTAAAACGCTCTGCAATCTGCCGATATTCGACAGATTGTAAAAACTGGCAGAAAATATTTGGGAAACTACTCTTCTGCTATGATACTAAAGCTTACTTCGGGTTTCTCTTATTACCGATTCTAAACCGTCCTAGAACTGTGATGCGTATGCGCAGAAGGAAATATGAAGACATTATTTCATTTGCGCATGCGCTGCAGAGTTCTAGGACGGTTCAGAATCGGTAATAACAAGAACCCGAACAAAGCTTAAGCTACGGTCGCGGCTTAAAAATAAATTTGGTAAATAAATAAGTTTGTAAATAATTTTTGTCTTGTGTTATATTTTTTTTGTTTTGTTAATTAGTGTAAAATAAATTGTGTTAGATAAATTAGACTTTTTATTCACACGGAACCGTAACGAACCGGACGAGAAACGTAACAATAAGAACGAAAATATTGAGGGTTGAGTTGACTTTTGTCGGTTATTGCTACTATTTGAGGAGTAAATAAAAAAAATCAGGGTTTTGTTTATGTGATTTGCGATTTGAGTGAAATATACATAATTTATCACGAATCAACCACAAAGTCAACCAAGGTTTAATCGTTACCACAGCCATATTCATTGCTATGCTAATAGCTCCATTATTTTCTTTTTTACAAACTAAAAACTCGATTATTTCTTTTGAATTACGCACCCAAAAATTAAATTAATAACATAATAATATGTGAAACCTGTACAGGGTGGGTCAAATTCGACGCTTTTAAATGGAAACACCCTTTTCTATAGGAGATAGACGAAAACTAATATCGGTGTCTGAAGCTCAATTTACATCAAAAACATGATGGTGAAAACCGCACATCAATATCTGTTACCGTTTCGGAGTTACGGGGTGTTTTTCAAAAATGTGCATTTTTAACAAATCGCTGTAACTTTTTTGCTATGGAAAATTTTGCATTTCTATGAAGACATTTCCAAAGTACCTTTTTACGTAGAATTTAATGGTTTAAGTATAATTTTTTTAAAATTAATAATTTAAGAGTTATCAACAGAAAAATTGATTTTTTATTTGGGACACTCTATATATTTTTAATTAACTGAAGAGAATTTAAAATTACCTTTCCAAAAATATAGCACACTTGATATTTTGTTATAACCCCCTTCGAAATACAGAATTTTTAAAAGCTCGCCACTTTTAACTAGTAGGCTTTGGACCCCTTATTGATGATATGCCTTTAATGGAACTCGAAAACATATTTTTCCAGCAAGACGACGCATCACCTCTGAACGCTGAAGTTATCAGCAAATTTTTGCAGCCAATTTCAAGAATAATTGGATAGCTAACCAAAATCTCAGCCGTTGGCCGTCGAGGCCGCCTGACTCAGTACCCATGGATCTAATCCTATGGATATATTTGCGGAAGAATAAAGGTCCCTTATTCTTCCGTATAATCTAGACAAGAATTAAAAATACTTAGCAGTTATGAGAGGGTATCTTTCACCCCCACTGAGTTAATGAATACCGCGAGAAATGTTCAAAAACTGCCCCGTCTGTCCATAACAGAAGACGGTCGATATGTCGAACACCTGTAGCAAAATCTCATGTCTTGGTTTACTACTTATTTTTATTGTTATTAGATATAGTTTAAATGCGTTGATGTTGGTTAAATATATTTTAAATTGTCATAAAATTCTGCATCTCTCATAGGAAATATTATTTTCGTATTAATTGATGCTCCCATCTAGAATTTTTTTGCATTACAGCCGGTGCCGTTCAAAGCCTACTTATTTAAAGCGGGCGAATTTTTATATACTCTATATCTCGAAGAGGAATCGAGCAAAATATCAGGTGTGTTATATTTTTGGAAAGGTAATTTTAAATTATTTTCAATAAAGTGAAAATATACAGGGTGTCCTATATAAAAAATCAAATTTTCTGTTAATAATTCTTAAATTATTAATTTAAAAAAAAACATACTTAAACCATTAAATTCTACGTAAAAAGTTGCTTTGGAAATGTTTTCATAAAAATACAAAATTTTCCATAGCAAAAAAGTTACAGCTATTTGTTAAAAATGCATATTTTTGAAAAACACCCCGTAACTCCGAAACGGTAACAGATATCGATATGCGGTTTTCACCATCTTGTTTTTGACAAAAATTGAGCTCCAGACACCGATATTAGTTTTTGTCTATCTCCTACAGTAAAGGGTGTTTCCATTTAAAAGCGTCGAATTTGACCCACCCTGTACATCTCCTTTCTTTGATCTACAGTGTGATTCAGGCTTACGAAAAAACTCTATATTAGGTTTGTTGTTTGTGAATTTCATTTCAATTTTTTCACATAATATGGGGGCAATGGTAACGCAGATTTTGAAAATGTTTGTGTCATACAGTTAACCGTTTGTTAACCATACAGTTAACCGTCGTTGTCAAACATAACCGTTTTTAGACTAAATTTACTGCTTATTTAGAGCCCTCTTAAAATTCTAAATTCGAAGAATTTTAAAAATTCTTAACAGGAAGTACTGTATAATAGTGTCTTCTTCAAAATTCGGTCTACCAAAATTTGCAATCTTGTTGAATATATACAGGGCAAGGCAGAACTAAATGTTGTATTTTTCTCCACTGTTTTCAATGGTACACCCTGTGTTTTGTATCATAACTGAACACGGTTTTGTTTAATCCTTTTGTATAATTAAGCACTTCCTATACCTAAAATCGATATTTAATGAGAAAATTGAGTTTTTTTTTAACTGAGTTAAAAAATATATGTTATTATATATTTAATATGGTAGAACCCACTTCGTTCTAATAAAAAATAATAGTAATAAGTAATTATAATTGAAAAAATTGCAATTTGTCGGAGGCAAGTTTACTAGTTTTCACTTTTAGTAAAAAATAACTAAGGCATATGTGAACATTAGTCAAAAAACAAAATTCTCAGGAGTCATTGTTCTGGCCGAAAAATGCTCTTGTAGGAAAATTTACTCACAAAATTATTGCACAGGGTGTTTTAAAATTAGCTCTTATTAACTCTTCGATTAACCCAAGTTTATAAAAACACTGAGTTTACCAATTAAAGTAGATATACATAGTTTGCAAAAAAAAATCATGAAAATAGAGCTAAAAATAAAAAAATATTTTTTAAAAAAATATTTTATTTCAACCAGTGGCGTCTGTACGGGTTTTACATTGAATATTTTTGGAGAAAAAAAATGGTAAATAATAAATTAGTAATCTATAATTTCCAATATTTAATTAGTTAATGTTAATCTGGTTTTAAAATTTAAATTAGCAAATACGCGGGTAAACATTATCCTACGACATAAAATACCCATATTTTAAACCAATTAATTCTAGTTTAATATACGTATACTTAGTGCAAATAATATTATAAATTCCAATTGATTATGAAAATAAATTCGAACAATGTTTACTAATTATTTTAATTTCTTTTAATATCGAAAAACCAATATTAAAAGCAGTACGGAGAAACCATGGTTTATTGTTGTGTTTGTTCAGTACTATCCGCAATTCGTTGAATATATTTTAATATGTACATACCCATGAATTGCTCAGCGTTCTTATATGTTGGGAATAGATTAAATCGCCAGAAGTGTTGTGTCTCTTCATTTTTCTCAAGTGGTTTCTGGGAACCGTCGAAAAATTGACTTGAGTACCTTGGTCCGCCTTCATATTGATACTCTGCAACAAAACAATAGATTTTTTTAAAACGTAATATGTTTTTATTATTGTTTAAGATGGATTATATCAAATGACTTAATCACCATTCTCAACATTTCTAAAACTAAAGCTTTGTCGTATAAAAACTCGCTGCAGCCTTTTGTACTTAACAACACCACCATTGACATGGTAAAATCTGTAAAATTCTTAGGACTTGTTGTAGACAATTCTCTAAAATAGGACATACATATCGACGCTTTGTCGAAAAATAAAGCTCTGTCTATTTTGCATTAAGATCTGTTTCTAAGGAGCTTAACTTGTCGGTGGCTAGAACTGTTTATTATGCACTTTTTGAGTCGTACCTCAGATATGCCCTTCCATTCTGGGGTACGTGTTGTGCGACTCAATTTGACCGCATTTTCAAGCTCCAGAAGAGAGCTGTTCGATATTGACTGGGACTAAACAGCAGAACTCATTGCCAGGACTTTTTAAAAAATTAAAAATATTAACTCTTCCTTCCTTATTTATATTTGAATCCTTTAAGCATGTATCAGCATCCCAAGAAAGGCCATCTCACACTTATCCACTCAGGAACGCCGAGCAAGATCTTTATCTACCTACCCCACGCACAGAGTTCAATATTATACAACTCGAAAAAATCACCTGCCATTTGAAGTCAAATCCATAACATCATTTTCTTCATTTCGCAAAGCATTGAAATCTTATTTACTAGACAAGGCTTTCTACGCCGTAAATGACATATAATAAATGCCACGAATGTTTGGGAGTGATTCATCGCTTGATGAAGTTAGAATCGACACGCGCGCTATCATTTTTACATTAAAAACGTAAATTTTTACCGCAGACGTAGGTTTTTAAAGGCCCGGTCTAATCATCTGCCTGCGCTCCTCCTACTTATTCTAAAATGTTAGCGTGATTGACAAAGACGATACTATATCGCGTTTCTTTGATTGATTCGTTTTTGTGCGTCAGTCCATTAGTGTGCTTGCAGTGCGGCATTGGGGCATTCCATTTTATATTTATAACCAAATATAAGTTTTGACAAGACTTTGACAGTTAAAACAACAAATTACAACAGATTATATATTGATTATTATAATGACTTGAAACGCCACGGCACTGGAATTAAGTTTTATGTGACCTTGAACAGATTAGTTCACATAGTAGCGACCGATAAATCACTCCCAAACATTCGTGGCGTTTACTATACATATTTTGATAATCGAATTTGATATTGTAAACACTGGTCTAATGGTGCGTTTAGACTTGAGCACGCACGCACTGATCCTCCGCGAATGCTCAAGTGTAAACGGCTGTGCGCGCACGCTCACTCTGATTCTGTCTGTGCGCGAGAAGCCGCGAACGTGAGCCGTCTGGTGTCGGTTTTTGGTCCGTGCTCAAAGGGATTTTATGTGTGCGCGAACGCTCAATTTAGACCGGCAATTTGTTTTGTCTGCGTTTGTGCGTGCGTGTGTAATTCTTTTCGTTTTCTTTATTAAAACTATGGAGTGGATCAATGAATCTTCGTTATTATTGATTGAAAAATATGAAAAGTTGCCTATATTATGGGATATTAAACATTCTTTGTATTATTAAAAAATCAAAAAAATATAACGCATGGCAAAACCTTGTAAATAAAATTAATATTGAATATGTCGATATTAATGAAATTGCTATTCTAAAATTTGTATCTTTTGTTCGTAATTTTTGGTGTTATTAAATTTTGTAAATATTCAAAGTCGGGCCTGGGGTGCAACTTTGTTCATGTTTCAAAGCGATAGCAAAGTAATTTGTAGCTTGATGCACTATGTTCAGTAGCAACATCGATTCGTAGCGATATTCTGATTTCTCGCTTTGTGGCGAGGCGACAGTCTAGACACGTGTGCAAGAGTGTGATAGTGATACCATATTTCGCAGTATTTGAGCGACAATAGTTTTGCAATGAACATAGTATCGATCTGGTTTTGACATCGCTTCTAAACGATCGGTTGCTAACTTGAACAAAGTTGCACCCCTGGTCATTCTTGTACAGTTTTTGAACTGATCATAGCCCTCCTCAGACACTAAGTTGTTGCAGTAAATTATATCGATTTCTAAAAATTTGGGTTTGCCACCAGCGACGATGTTTTCGATTTTTGTTCTTTTTAATAATTAAGCTGTGCATAACAATGACTGCAGCCTCGACTATTTCTTGGTCGTCCATTATTTTCGCCAACACAACTCTGCTGTGCGCGCACAAATGGATCACTTCATTCGTCGAAAAATAAGTTTTTAATTTGAACGGAGCCGAGAGCGCGAACGAATGCCGTGCGCGCACGCTCAGCTCGTGCGTGCTCAGGCCTAAACGCATCATAATATTTGCTATTACCCTTGATTATGTATAAAACAAGGCTATTACTATATTTACTATAAACTTTCAGAATATTTTTGAATCTTATTTTTATTAGCCGACCATACCGACAGGTATGGTAGGCTATTAAAATCGGCAAAAAAAAAGTTTTGTTAATTTCACTCAAAATTAGTTATTTGGGTCATAAATGACCTAAATACAAAATATTTTAATGGTGTCTGTCTGTCCGTCTGTCTGTCCGTCTGTCTGTCCGTCTGTCTGTCCGTCTGTAACACGATAACTCAAAAACCGATAAACCGATTTTAACCAAATTTGGCACAAAAATACTAGGGCACCCGAGAATCTGGCCATTAGTTTTTCGTGGGGTGGGGTTTGGTAAGGGGGTATGGGAGGGGGTTAAAAATTTTAAAAATCGTAACTCCAGAATTACAGTAGCTAGCGAAACGCGGTTTTCAATTTAAGATTAGGAATAATATTTGCAACAAAATTTGTAATAACATCAAAATCAGTCAAAGTCGCAGTTTTTGAGATAAAAAAAATATCAAGTATGGGCGGCTATACGTGCCTTCCGGCGCTAATTTTTTTTATTCTTTGAGATTATAAACATTTATAAATGTTTATTTTAAACAATGAGACTGACAATGTAATTTGTATACTTGTTTTGTATTCTCTTTTGTTTGTTTGTTTGTTTACTTTACCTTTGTCGACAAATTGTAAAATTTTTTGACAATAAAGGCATTTTAGAACCATTTTTAGAATTATTAGAACCCATTGGTGTATGAGGTTAGAAATAACTAAAAACATACAGAGCGATCAGCAATGCTTGAAATACATTATAAAACATTATTATTTTTATATGCATCCCCAACACTTGATTGCTTTTTGATTAGACGAATTTAATTTTAATCATTTGGCAACGATGATACATTTTTGACTTAACGCGCGTGCAATTAAACAAAATTGTATATTGTTTGTCTATAATAAAGCAATCAGTAGTACATAGTATATAAATTATCTATCTGGTTATTATTACTGCATTAATTTCACATGATTGTGAACATAATTCATTCTGTGACACGACAACTATAGTCCGGAAATGCATATCGAATCTATTACAGGATTCATAATAGTACGTATGGATTTACAATACGACAAAAAAATAAATAAATCAAATCTGTAGCCTTAAAATTAGTAATGCTATTGTTTATTATACTTCAGTTTTCAGATCTGCAAAACAAATAGATATAAGGTATTTCCTGAATTATTAAATATAGCATTGTTTTTTATATTATTTTTTTTTGTTTAAGTTCTTATAAAATTCTTGTATTATTCTTATTAAAATTCTTATAAATAATTTTAGCATGGTTGGTAAATATCATGATATTTATATAAATATCAAATATCGGATATATATCCAATATATATCTGATATATATCCGATATATATCAAGTTTTGATATTTATTTTTGTTTTTATTTTTTATGTAAAACTGCGTTTAGTATCAAGTAAAATTAAGAGCTCAAGCAAATATTTTTATTTCAATTTAATTATTGTTGCTTTACACATAATAGGAACAACATTTAAACAAAACTATATAAAAAAAATACAGAAATTCTAAAAAAATAAACAGAACTTCTAAAAAAATAAACAGGAATTCTAAAAAATAAACAGAAATTCTAAAATATAAACAGAAATTCTAAAAAATAAACGGAAATTCTAAAAAATAATCAGGAATTCTAAGAAATAAACGGAAATTCTAAAAAATAAACAGAAATTCTAAAATATAAACAGAAATTCTAAAAAATAAACGGAAATTCTAAAAAATAATCAGGAATTCTAAGAAATAAACGGAAATTCTAAAAAATAAACAGAAATTCAAAAAATAAACAGATATTCTAAAACTAACAACAAACAAATTTATATTTGATTTATTAGTTTATTAACATAATACTGCGTTTAGTATCAAGTAAAATTAAGAGCTCAAGCAAATATTTTTATTTCAATTTAATTATTGTTGCTTTGCACATAATAGGAACAACATTTAAACAAAACTATATAAAAAAAAATACAGAAATTCTAAAAAAATAAACAGAACTTCTAAAAAATAAACAAGAATTCTAAAAAATAAACATAAATTCTAAAATATAAACAGAAATTCTAAAAAATAAACGGAAATTCTAAAAAATAATCAGGAATTCTAAGAAATAAACGAAAATTCTAAAAAATAAGCAGAAATTCTAAAATATAAACAGAAATTCTAAAAAATAAACGGAAATTCTAAAAAATAATCAGGAATTCTAAGAAATAAACGGAAATTCTAAAAAATAAACAGAAATTCAAAAAATAAACAGATATTCTAAAACTAACAACAAACAAATTTATATTTGATTTATTAGTTTATTATTTTTTTTTTGATGATGATTTACCATTTTATTATTTATCATTAATAATAAAATGGTAAATCATCGTCAGATTCGTCAGAGTCAGAATCAATTGATACTGTTTCTGGCACAAGTTTTTGGTACATTTGAATTGTCCCAGATCCAATCAATATTATCTTTTTTGCTTTTTTCTTTCTGATTGTTGAGTTTTATTTTTTTTATAAATATCATGATATATATCAATGATATATATCCGATATACAGGGTGA